TTAAAATGCCTTTACTTTAAAATGCCTTTGCAAATCAACAGAATTTCCGAAAATTTCCGACTTAATATTTTTTTCTGGTGAAATAAAAACATAAATGAAGAATAAAGCCAAAATATGAAATGTGAAATATTAAATATTTTCATGATTTGTAATCACAACATTTTTTCTTTTGTCAAATCAACTTAGAAAATGTATTTATTTCAAATAACATAATATTTTGAGTTTCTGGTGATTAAATCAATCTCCTTCATTGTATTAACTCAATTTTTCCATTTCAATGAACTTAAAATTTTGAGGCAACCAGGTTAAACCAACAATATTTTTTTACAGTGTAATCCACTCTTTTGTCGAGGGGGTCAAAATAACAATTATCACCTGAGATAGTCAAATTACAAAGGGGTAAAATGGCTTTAGAAAGTTGTCAGAATCATTATATATTTTTACACCTATCTTTTACACCTATCTGTTTACGGTCTATCAGTAAACTCTGTTAACTTTATCAATATTTGATACATTAACGGTGATTATTCAAAAATGGGAATTTTGCCAGAAGTTTGCATGCCTGAAACTCAAGAAGTATTAAACATCTTTTAATATCCTTGTTCTGAACTTTTCTTTTGGTATCTTTTGGGATTTCAATGTGATTTCAGTGCTGAAAAACGCAAATGTGGTTCACTTTGCATACTTTTTTCTTTTAAAGAGGAATATCTGAAGAACAAATAATTGACACAGAATGACCCTCTGCTACCTGTGGCATATACAATTATAGCCGTCTACTGAATACTGTACATAGGCTACTGTAATTTCAAAACAGTAGTTGACCACAAGAAGTAAGCATACTAAGCATTTAAAAAGGGTCACCATGACTTTGCCGAGACAGACATGTTTTGTTATCAACTCCAGGAACATGTCTTATATAAAGTCTATAGAACTGTTAAAATCATAGATCAAGTGTCAGGAATGGAAAGAAATACATGCAAAGAGAAGATTAAGAGAGATATGAGAGAGGTCACTGTCGACACTAAAAGCTCAAGATTGATTGTTCATTTAAGACTCGGACTGAACAAAGTGTGCATTAACAAGAGATGTAATTTCAACTCGATTCTCAGAGATAATGAACGCAAATCACATTAGACACCCCTGCAGTCTTTCTTCTCTCATCCTCCACCAGATATCCCACTAATATAACAGTAAATAAGAACATCCACTGCTGGCCATCTTAATTAGATTAGAATAAAATCCTCATACACACATGGACCCTTACAAACGCACACACACACACACACACACACACACACTCACTTCATTAATCCAGTGGTAATTTGCTTTCACTTGCTATCAGCCAGAACAAATCGTTCTGTCTCAGGAAAACATTTGCAAGAAGTGCGAGAGAAACATGAGGCTAATTGAGGGAGAACAGCATTAGGACGCAGCAGGACGCCTGTTACCGGACGCGGATAAATCTGTGGATTACACCCGCACGGCCCGTCAGAGGATCAGGGTTTGAGTGGATTACAACTGGACATCACAGCCCTCAAATCCGCTTCAGCACAATATCCTATCAAGAAGATAATGAGACAAAAGGGTCTGTGATGGAGATTTAGGGGCAATCTGTGCCCTCATATATATATATATATATATATATATAGTATACACATCATTTTAAAGGGAGGGTTTAATTGCGATTTCCCTTTTTTCATTTTAAACAGTGTTTAATGTTGCTGTTGGTGAACTGCAAACTGCACAGTTGCAGCACAACACTTGAACTCCTCTAACTTCAAGCCAAAACTGAAGTTATAAAGTGATGAAAATGTCCTGCTTTTCAAAGATCAGCTCTACAGTAAAATATGGAGGGTGAGGAAGAAAAACAGGATAAAGAGGAAGAAAACCAAAGATATAAATATATTTTGTTAGTTTGTTTTTGGTGAGAGCAATTTTTGATCAATTTGGAGGCATTTCTAGTAATTTATATATTTATTTTTCTAACACAGAAGAGACATTATTTCATTCATTATTTTTAAAACCTGTCATAATAAAACATGTTACGTAACCTCTGAGAAGCCTATATTGAAATTAATGAGGCATCTTTGAGGAAACTTTGAGTATCATGTGAGTATCTGTTTGCCGGGCCGAGTATCCTGGTTTTTGGTAATCAAAATGTGGTCACCCTATATAGCCTAATATTAACACCACATCGCCACCACTACTTACTATTGTTTGTGCTGTTGATTTCATGACGGCCCTCCAAAATGATGTCACTTCCTGGAGGATGATGTCATAAAGGAAGTGGCTGTTTTTGGTCAGTTTTTTCTTTTAATTGGAAGAAAAATGTCTTGAACATTTTCGCTGTGTCCAAAATCTCCACTCAAACTCAGCAATATATATAGTGAGCTCACCAGCATAATAGAAACACCACTTTCGGACACTACGTCGATCGTCTCTCGGCGAAGTTGATTACATCATCTGTCAGCTGGTGCCGAGCCGGCTCTGGGCTAAATAGATTTTTTTTTTTTTTTTTTTTTATAAATACATTACATTTTATTGACCTTATTTCTCCAAAATTTAAAAAACTAAAAGTCATTTCTGGCCGTTTCTGTTATAATGCGCTACTCCGCACACATGATTATAACTTATTTTACGATCAGCGCAATGCATGATGGTATAGGGCTTGGGTTAGTTACCATCGGTTGTACCAGAGAAAGCCTACTGGCTTTGATTGTACCATTGTATACTTTTCAACATGCATTCTGGGATACATTGAGTGGACTATAGGGTATAATAATCATCACTATACATTCGGACAGCACTACAAAATGGCGAGCTCACAATAGTCCACTTTATAGTATAGTGGGTGATTTCGGACAAGCAAAGTAAAAATGAAGTTACACCTGGACTTTTACATTTTAAAGGTTAACAATCAGTATGTATCAACATTTTCAATAAACAAACTGAAAAAAAAAAAAAACTTTTTAAATGTTAATAATCAGTACAAAAATGGCAATAACTGGTCACAGCAAAGAACTGAAATTAAATCAAATTCACCCCATATAGTCCTACAATTTAATATGATAAAGAAAAAAAACTACTAAGATTTCTAGTTATACAAATGTTTATGTTCAATATTTTATTCAACATATGAGCACATTTGGAAGAAATAATCCAATTATACCGAGTGCAACCCCTTTAATTACTTATTCATTGGATGCTTAGCTGCACAGTATTGTCATCATTTTTTTAACGTATCAGCTTCAGCACAATAAGCCCCATATTTATCAAAGATCTGTGTTTATGAGCAATACTTTGTCTCCATGTATTTAATTGATCTGCCCATCTGCGGCTGCCAGAGTTGGATCAGTAACACACACACCGGCTGGCAGCACTGCATCTGAAGGTGTTATTTCATTAGAGATTCTCTCTTTGCTGACACAGATCTGCAAGACCGATGTCTGAGAAGATTGAACACTCATCATCCTCTTACCTTACATTCATCAAAACACACGCACACACGACTGACAACTGTTAGCTACTTTCCATGAATAGGGTATACAGTATTTATATACACAAAGAAATGGCAACATATTGACTTATTTTTACAATGTGTGTGTATATACAGTGTGTGTGTGTATATATATGTATATACATATACACACCCCACAATACACAACCCTAATGTTATTTTATATAAATGTGAACATTAATCATTTTGCTTTAATCATTTTAGATCAACAGTGACATTGTATAATTAATTATATTCAGTGCAAAGACATTTAATGCATTTAAAACCAGATGAGTTATAGAGTCATGCTATAGGTGTTTTATTTTCTTGTTGGATGACAGTTCTTTGAATATCTAATACGTCTCACAATAAAAACCATCAGTGGATACTAAAATGTACCATATTCAAGAAAAGTACACTTTAACATGCCATCATATTTAGCTAATGGCAATAAAACATTGGCTGTCTGAAATAAATGCTAAAGCAGCAAGTCATTGGCTGACTTGGCAGAAATATTTGGTTTCAGACACGGCTATTATCAGTTAAGCGTCCCTGAAGCCTCTCAACCCTAGGTTACACAGCACTGACCTCAAACAGCAGCAGTTTATGGATGCCCGGCGTCAGACCCATATTCGTGGGGCTCGTGATGCAGGTTTTGTTGAAACTGGGTCACAGGTGTTCATTCCATCCAGGGGAATTCATGAAGCCATTCCTCTAGCCCGCTCATTTCTGTCCGTCCTCTGGTTGCGTTTCCAGCTAACCTATTTGTCTAAGGAATTCACATTTGGCTTATGCTGGTTGACAATTTGTCTTTTTAACCACATTAAAAATATGAGAATTAATGTCAGCTTTGCTCCAATTTAAGCTCTGTTTGCTCTCTGGGCCTGCATGACCAAACTCTTGTTATTTCATGTTTTAGTATCGCTTGCACAGAAAATGTCTTCAGTACTGAACACATACGACTTAACTTAATATGGCTAACATCTTTATTGAAGAAAGTTGGTTTGCCCAGCGGCCATGTTCAAAAGTGTGGGGTCGGTATAAGATCTTAAAGAAATTAATACACATTAGGTTGCTCAAAAAATAGACAGTAACAAAATGTACAATATTAGCACTAAAATATGAAGCATCAACATTGATAAATGTTTAAGCAGCAAATGGGCATATTAGAATCATTTCTGAATAATTATGTGACACTTGATGCTGAAAAATTACATATTTATATAGAAAACGGTTAGAATAATATTTCACAACATTACCATTTTTACTGCATCAAATGAATGCAAAGTTGACGAGAATAAAAAACGTAATCTTTATAAAATCAAGCAAATCTTATTGATCCCAAACTTTTGATTTGGTAGTATATTACTATATTTCTTATTCAATATATTCAGATTTTACTTAGTAAATAATTAATTTTCATTGTTCGCAAATGTGTTTTAGCACAAACTCAGTAATTCAATGAAAATCACTCTTGATATAGTAAAGAAAAGCATGCCACACATCCTCTAATCCAGTTTTATTCTTTTTTCAGCAAAAGAGGAAAGGGAAAAAAAAGGAAAACAAGAAAACAAAAGAAAGGCTACAGAATTTTATCTTATCCATATCTTCGCTTTTTGTATGCTTTTTTTTTTTAAATGTTAACCTAAAAAGGGCAAAGTAATGCAGCTCTATGCTTAGAGTGAGAGTTAACCAGAAACACAAAGGAGGTTAAATAAGGATTTTTCTTAAGATACACAATATTTCATCTCTTATCTTCAGTTGTCCATGTCGACATCAACAGAAAACCAGTCAAAGTAATAATAATAATTAAAAAAAAAAAATCAAAACAAAAGCGCCGGTAAATTGAGACTCCGCCTTCCTCGTTCCCACCAGAGTTGAACACATCCCTCCATAACGCCATGTATGGGAGGGAAGGAAAGAAAGCAAAAAGAGAGAGAAAGAATCAAGAGAATCCAGAAAGAAAGGTTAGCATGTGCAGGCAGGAGAAAGAACAGGAAACTAGTGAGAATGATGGAGGAAAGAGAGAGAAAAAGAAGGGCAAAAAAAAAAAAGCCACCGAGATCTTCAGCTGCTTTTAAAGAGGCAGAGTGTATGATGCAAGGGCTGATGGGAGTTGTACGAGGTTACAGAGTGTGTTTATTCAGACCTGAACGAACTACAGTTCTCAGATGAGCTGTGGGCGGCCCTTTCCCAACTGAACCCAAACCGAAGGGTACCGTTTTGATTGCACCGAACGGTGTAAGTGCATATGTGAGTGTGAGTGTACGCGAGTAAAACGGGCACGGCTCTGACGCGAGAATCGAGTCGAGTCGCGGCAGAGCCGGGCTTTTTTTTTTTTTTTTTCCCGGGACGGAGTGACTCGTGTGATCCAGGTCACCCCCTGTTCCCTCGGTCAGCGTCTGTCCGTGTGACGGAGAAGTAGTTCCCAGAGGTCTCGATCGATCGATGCGTTTCCCCTGGAGTCGATCGCAGCCTCTGAGACGAGAGCAGTTCTCCAAAGTACAGGCCGCTTGGGAGCCCAAATTGGTCTGACCTACTGACCTGCATATGCACTGGGTGTGGAAGGGGACTGAAAACAGAATGTTAAGGCTGTGCGGGTCGCCTGTGTGTGATGAGCACAAGGCTACTGAGGGGTCAGAGGTCAAGCAGGGGTGAGGGGTCCTCTGAGATGTGTTGGAGGAAAAAAGATGCCACTAACAGGTGAGTGATCGGTGGATGCGTGCGTGCGTGTGTGTGTGTGTGTGTGTGCGTGTGTGTGTGTGCGTGCGCGTTCAAGAGCACTCCTCTCCGATGCGCTGGCAGGTTCGGCCCACCTTGCGGTCCAGTTTAACCATCTTCAGCACAGCTTCCTCTCGGCCACGGCCCAGATGGTCAAACATACAGTCGTGTTGCTCCGGCAACCGGTGCAACATGCAGAACACATAACCTGAGATCAAGAGAGAGAGAGACAGAGTGCTCACAATGAGATGAATGTGTTGTATAACCTGCTCAAGGTTGGTTTTAAAAAGCGTTCCAACAGCACGTAACACTAATTTGACAGAATTTAACAGCATGCTTGAGAGTGCATCTTGCCACACACACACACATCGCAAATGACTCTAAAAAGTCACTAATTACGTCACAGTTAGCCTGCTGAAGTTTCTGCTTTTTAAAATGAATGCCAGAGAGATTATACTGATCTCAGATCATTTCTAAGTAAAAGATTTTAGTGGTGCTTGCCCACGCATTACTGGCACGAGGAGTGTCGCTCGGGGTTGTTACTAACTAGAACAAGTAAAAAAAATTAATTAAAAAAAGCTTACAAACAAGTCTCTACGAGGATCCTATATGGGGTGAGAATTGTTGCATTATTCCAAATAAATAGATTATGATCCACAAATAAATGTATAGAAATTCACAAAAATATTTCAAATTCACAAATGAATAGATTATGATCCACAAATAAATGTATAAAAATTCACAAAAATATATCAAATTCACAAATAAATAGATTAAGATACGCAAATAAATGTAAAGTTTCACAAAAAAAAAAAAAAAGATAAAAACTCACAAATAAATAAAAATGAGATTTGCAAATAAAAAAATATATATTAACCAATGTTTTTTAGGCCAAAAACACAACTCTCCTGGGCATTTATTTGTGAACCGTTTTTTTGCGCATTTGTAACACTTCTAGCAACGAGGTGCGGACAAATCCACAAATAAGTGGACTCCACCCACCGTTTCCTCAAGCCAATCAGATAACGGCCACATTGAGCTGACCAATAGAGCATCACAGTCCCGCCCACAGCCGGTGCCGGAAGTAAAAATTCAATACAATTTCTCCATTGACATTTGGGATATAAGCCACAAAAACGTAACCATACATGGTAGACTTAAAACCAGCTACGGCTGTACTAAGCGATTGTATATGCTCCTATAAACGCCAAAAGATCATAGGGCACTAACCTTGTTTTAAGATGAATTCCTTTTAATCGCGATGTATTGGATAAGTACTCCATTACCCACAATCCTGAACAATCCCACAATCCCACAGTGATGCATCTGATTGGTGGAAGTCGGGTCACGTGTCTGAAACCCCGCGAAGGCGCTTGAAGACTGAAGATCGCGTAATGACGTAGGGCTAAGTTCATTGGTCGCACCTCAGAGACGACCCCGCGCCATTGGATGTACAGCAGCCACAGCTTAGCCTATGAGCGAGCCAGACGCTCAACGTTTTAGCATGTGCATAAGCTTCAGTAAATCGAGGAAAAGGAGTTTCCCTGCACATTCACTATATAAAATTCACTTGAGGAAAAAGTTCACTCGGCCGTCGTCAGATTTGGAAGTCACTCAAAAGGCTCTTTCACGGTGGCTTTCAGTCGACTTCAGTGAGGCGCGGTGGTTTATGGGAGTAGTTATTTTGCTTGGAAATGAAAATATGTACACAAGCTTGTACCTTTGACTTTTTGGGGATTTTCTCTTATTTTTTTCACTCAAAATGATTTGTTGTATGCTTATGAGTTCAGCCGTAGCAGATTATCCTCAGACATGCTCTAACACTCTTTAGATATGGATTTTACAAAATGTCAATGGGAGAAATGAATGGGAAATTTACTTCCGGCACCAGCGCTCTCTCTGGCTGTGGGCGGGACTGTGATGCTCTATTGTTGCACGTTCTCGCTGTTTGGTTGTACAATCAGGACGGTTTTGCCCTGAATTAACTTTGCTCTTTCATCTGACTATGGGTCATGCACTGGCCCAAATAGGAAGTGTAAGGCTAAGGCCCATAAAATTGCTACAGTAAATTGTTTATTATGATAAAAGCATCAATAAGTTGCTGACTAATGAATAACTGGATTCGACCTTATGATAAATACGCGAGTTTGTGTAATGTAAGTGAAATCACTGTCCAACAGCTTTTCCCACTTATTCAGTCAAGTTTTAAATACGCAGCAGGCCCGTGGATCTAATTAACCATTGTGCATTAAACATGTATCATGCATTTAAAAGTGAAATGCCCAGCAGACAAGCTATTTGCATTGATTTATCCGTTAAAACACTTGATCACACAATTAATATTTCATATGAATCAAACTTAATAATATTTTATTGTAAAAGTTACTTAGAGCATCTAAAAAAAAAGCGCAAAAAAGTATTTTTTTTTAGCATCCACTCAAAACCCCAGTAGCCTACATGCTGTGACATCTTCAATGATGGTCATTTGGGCTGATACTTGGTATTCTACAGAATATTTATGTCTTATAGCTAGCTATTTGTCAACACGATTGTGCTTTAATAGACAAAATCATCCATTTTGTCATTTCTTACATCGTGTCTACCCCGCGCGAGTCTGTCGACACTGGACAAAGCAACGGTGCAAATTATGTGTCCTCCGTGTAGCGGCTAATTCTGAAGAAGAATGGGCATCCGTTTACTGTCAATGAATCATTGTGTCGCGCTGCGCCGCGTCCAGTGTATAGCCTACATTATCAAGAATTATGAACTATGCATGTAGCCAGCACTAGGCAAGAAGGAAGATTAGAAACACCATATACATGCAGGTAAGAAAACGTCGTGGGCAAAATGTGTTACCATCACAAACATGTTAATTTTACATTATTTGAAACTGCTACGGAAGCCGAGAAGATAATGGGCTATTTGCTTCTGACGCACTGTCGTGCCGCTTGATTCCGGTGTAGAGAGTGTTAAAAGAACGATAAAATACAGTGGGCAGCACACTGTCTTACGGAAGTAAACAAACAGGTTACTGAAGTCAACATTTAAGTGTTCTTTATGTGCGTTGTGCACGCCCTGCTGGTTAATCTGCTATCCTCTTCCTTAGATTAGTTGACTAATTGAAAAATTAGTCGTTAGTGGCAGCAATCCTAGCAAACACCACTAACTACGCATAGACCAAACGTAGTTTGACTTCTTAGAGTGTGATCTGAGATCATTTCCAAGTAAATAAAAACCCAGCTCTGCACACAGAGGATCCATTCCGTCTTCAGAGCCTCATTAAGAAGAGTCTCGTTAAGGAGTTTAATATATTCATTAATACACATGGTGTTTTTAATGAGTCAGAGATGATTAAAAGCTTACAATGTTTCAATTACGACAGCCACAGAAGAGCTGCACGGCACTACACACACCAGTGCATCATGTAGCGCTATTCAGGGGCGACGCCGCTGAATATATATTCTAGATGAGTTGACAGCTTCTGAATTGTTTGACGAAAAAGAAAAACAGGGTTGTTCTCACTGACTGCATGCAACCATAAACCCGCAGCATAATGTGCTGCCCGATTCATGAAAGATTCGCTCAAATGAAGCGGTTCATTTTAATGAATCATTCGAGTAGATTAGCAAATCAGTCTGAATCGAACACAGGACTTAAACACTTAGATCGACCGAATTACTCGCTTATACGTTACTGTTAGGGCTGGGTAATAAATATCGATTTCTCGATATTAATCGATTCTCATTTTTACGAACCGATATCGATTCTTAAATCTCAAGAATCGATTAGTCATCCTGTTTCATTTGAATGAATGGGACATTGTATTGCGGCTGCGCGCATCCAAAAAATAAATAAATAAATAAATAAAAATCGCAATAATCTTTGTCCTTTGTTACTATTGATATGAAACAAAGTCGCAATTTTCAAATTACGTCCATTTTCTTTAGAAATTCAAAAACATAAATAGAGTTTTGGCGCTGTGGCGTGAGATCGCTCTGGCGCAGCTCAAGAAAAGCAGCAGCGCTGATCTCTCTTCCGGGTTAATAATACCAGTTACAGCGCGAAATAAACATGAATGAGCATCTGAAAGTGTGTTAAAAGATAGAGTACAACTTATCGAAATCCGTATCATGTCACATTGATTCGCTCAATCAGCGTTTTAACCGTGGAAAGACGTCAGTTAAACAGCTAATCAATGTCATGTATCGTCATATTTACCTCAGAAAACCCACATCAACTCGTTAGTCAGCTAGAAAATAATAACTCCAGAGAGGAGCATTTTGCCAAATACATACACTATAGCTATTACATATGCATTATAATCTTAATGTTCTTCAATATTTAATGCATATTTGAATAATTCTGGCAAGTTTTTATGACAGCCACCATTTAAATGTTTATATTTCATATAATCTTCTTCTTATAAAAATAAATAAAAGTGTAATTTAAGTGATTCATTCATTATTACCTTCATATTAGGCTAATGAAGCCTAGTAGGCTACAACTAAGACTCCCATAGTTTACAGCATTAGTTAAGAGATTTGATTCCCTTGAGAAAAAAATGCCATTTATTGTAACTGATATCCAAAATAATCGATATTGAATCAAATCGAATCTTAATCGAAATCGAATCGAATCGTATAATTTGTCTCAATACCCAGCCCTAGTTACTGTACATTTTAAAACGCATCCAAGCAGGTTTCCTAACCCTAGGAAGAAAATGCAGCAGAGTTTTTCAACTGCAGGAGTCCTGCCTGAGAAAAACATCATCCCGTTGGGATAAGGACTCAGATGCGAGCTGTCACGGGAACAGTCAGATCCATAAGTGTATTAGCAGAGCAGTGGGAATTGTCATTAGACTGATGACTTGCAATACCATCTTCAGTTTAACAAAACAAGACAAAAAAATAACTAGCACAGCCAGGAGGACTGACGTTAGCGCCGTAATTATGTTTAAACGCTCACTTTATTTCCTTACCTACAGTTAGCATCTGAAATTGAAATGACCGAGGGGGGTTAAATATACTTTAGTTCTGTAGAGATCTAAAAGTTCTCGCTGAAATTGCAAACAGTCAGGTGAGGAATGAACAGGCCCACACAGAATTGGAAAACCCATCATATGCGCCATCAGAACAAGTGACGTGATGTGACAAAACTAGAAAACTTTTGCCATCATCCACAAAGCTGTCGAGACTTGACGCATGCGTTATAGTTTTGTCACATCGCCTCGCAGATGACACGGCGGCCATACTAACCACAGCGACAGGACCCCAGCTCCTGTTGTACGAGCTCCAGTTTGGTTTGGCAGCGATGGCATCGCCGACGGTTCTTCTGCTTGGGAACTCGTGGAGAATCTTCAGAACATGAGGCCTCTCCCACACGAACACGCTTCTCCGGGGACGACTCGCTCTCTGAACCTGAGGCTGAACACACAAACAAGAACTTTTAAATTACAACTGCATCCCCACTGCAGAACTATTTGGTGCGAGTTGAACAGCGCTATAACACACACCGGAGAGCACAAAGAGCTTCAGTTGAGAAGCAAGTGTTCGACTTACCATGCATCCCATTACTAAACGGGGGAAAAAAGGTAGTTGGCATGCTTTATAATGGATTGAAGGTTGAACCATTCACAACACCATAGTAACAACCTAGCAAGGGCGACATCCTTTAAACCTCAAATCTCTCTTTAAACTGGCAAAATATTTAAACTACAACTACATGAATGTTTGGGCAGTCTGAAGAAAGATTTGAGGTTTAGGAATGTAGGCCTTGCTCGGTTTGTGAGTGATTGTCTCTTTTTCTTTTGTTGTTTGATTAGCATTAATGATAGACAGCAGCAGGTTTATTAGGCTGCTGTCACTTTAAGAACTAACGCATGGATCGAATATACCGACACGTCCGATTTCCAACCGTTTACATACACTTAAGACATAACCAACTGTGTTTATCCATAAAACCGTATTCTGGACAAAATAGTTTGATTTATTTTTAAAAAATACTTCCCTTGATCTGAGCGGTATAAGACTTGGCTACTTTTCCAACGTTTGCCTCCTGAACACACACAATTTTTTTTTGACTCAATTCTACAATGTTAAGTGGGTGAAAAAACAACAACTTTTATTTGGGTAAAAAATGGGCACCCATAGAAATGAATGGGAAAAAAATGTAATTTAGAGCATTCTAAAATAAGCTAAAATAAGACAACAGGTGACAGCAAAGTCACTTCATCTTTAGGTTTTAGCTCTAAGAACTTATTGGAATGATATTTCAATGTAGTTAAAAAAATTAAAATTAAAAAAATAAAGATAAGCATAATTTACATAGAAAATATGGTGCTTTTTGAAGTAAATAAATTCAAAAATACCCCCAAAATAAAAAACACACCCTAAATGGATAGACAAAACTTTATCGAAGACAGTGATAACATTTCCTCTGTGCCCACATTTGTCCACAATTACAGGATTAAGGGCTATAAAGTGAATACGGTTTGAGGGTTAAATGAAGGCTGGCGTTTTGACAATTTTATTTTGTTTTTATACTTCTACACAAATAGGCGGATTTCTATGCGTCAGCCTGCGTGAGTAAAGAGTTCGTTGTTTAAGGCTTATTGCACTTAATAACTATTTTTAATAAACACTTCCCACACTTTATTATCTCATTCCTGTATGTTTTTTTATTGCTCTAATGTGTCAATAACTTCAGGCAGTCCGTATAAATTGTTTAAATTGTCGCTACAATTTCACCATGCATACCGCCCAGCTCTAAGAAGCGACATCAGAGTCGGCGGAAAGTTTGCAAGTACTCTAGACAGAAGTTTGGCTTGACCAAAACTTGAACTCAATTGATTTAGCTCTCTCTGACCTTGGTTAGTCAGTCTAAACCAGAGCTTCCTGTGCTTTCAGAGCTTTAAAAATCGTCTTTTTTTGGATAGAGAGGTGGAAATGAATGTGTGAGGAAGGTAACGATGGGTGCGATAAAAACTACATCGATTCACAAGAAGAACTATATTAATAATTGGATATTTAAATTAGGTTTACTAATAAGATGTTGCAACAAAACGGAGATAAAAGATACATTTTGTGCGATATGTAACAACTGATTACATTCGAGCAGCTGCTTTGAGACTTTCAAACCACATTTGTACGCTGCTGTACATTTACAGCTCAGTTCCAAAGTGGTGTGATGTGCTAGAGTCTTAAAAGCTGCCAGACACACACAAGCACAAAAGCAGTGGTGAGGTGTACCTGAGTCGCAGGGTCGTTTTGTAGGAGTGGATAGCGTGCCGCGTGCTGTGTCTGTACTGGAGACTTCTGGGAGAGAGAGAGAAAATGATATAAGATTTAGATTTATGCATTTGGCAGATACATTTATCCGAAGTGACTTGCATTGCATTTAACGGTTCATGCATTCCCTAGGGATCAAACACATGACCTTGGCGTTGCTATTTAGGAGTTCTCCGCTGCAAACCCAACATTTGAAAACCACTAGAATAGATCTCTAAGGATTCAGACTTTCTGGTTGTCTTCAACTCAGATTTCACATTCCCAAAACAAACATTATAAATGTGTCCTTTAAATCATTTTCATCTACAATATTCAACAGTCTATCATTCTCCATGACTGCTGTGGAATATTAAAATGATTAAGGCCCATCCGAGACTAAATGCGATGAAATATCATCCAAGTTATTACAGGTAAGACAGAAAACATTAGTGCGTCCTCACCGTCCTGTGCAGGAAGAGGCGAGGCTTCTGTCGAGGGCTCATCAGAGCTGGCTGGCTTGGAGGACAGGGTTTGGCTACTGCTGCTGCTCGTCTCATTGCAGAAGACTGCTGATTGGCTATTGCTGGAGCTGGGGGCGGGTTCTGGAGTGCAGTCCTCGTCTGGCTGTTTCTTCTGTATGTCTGATTGAGAAAAGAGAGAGAATTAGAGTCTCTAAAAACTCAGATTAGACAATGAATATACCCTGTACTATAAGTAACTTACCAGCAAAACATTTGGAGCAAAGGTTCATGGTTTTGCTGGACCTGGAGAGAGAAAAGGAGATATTCTCTTAAATATCTGTATGCAAGAAGAGCACAACTCTATTGTGAAATGACCATAACAACACTAACCAACACTAGCGAAATTTCACAATTCTTGATACAGATTTCAATACCACAACAAGATCAAACATTATTAAAAACCTAAAAAAAATCCATTAATAAATTCAATTAAAAATATATATTTAAAAATAGGTTTACAAATAAAAATTAAATTGTTTTTTGCTAAATTATTCAAGTAAACCACACTTTTACTCAATGCATCTCCTGCGTGACCTTTCCAACCGTTTATGATTACAGGGTAAAAATATTTAGGAATTAATTTAATTCAGAAATATTTGCTAATGAATCACTGAGACTTTGTGGACCAGTTCATTTGACTCACTGAAAAGAACTCAAAAAGTATTTTATAATACGGCAGTTACCTACATGTGCGAGCCGCAAGCGATTATTAGAACAATCGGCAACGGTTTACACTTGTATGTGCATGTCCAGTGTGCATGAATGGTCATGTGACGTCTTTGTAGCGTGGACAGATCTTTTCTAATATGCAGTCGACACGCCAGTATGGACTCAGACACCTCTTCAGTGGAGAGCTCCTCGATGTTATTTACATGCAGGTTGAGGGCGGTGACTTATCAAACACTTCATTTCCACAAACACAACAAACATCCATTGCACTCCCTGCGTGCGACTCGAAACTCGCTCTCAGGATGTCAGAGGTAAGCAATGAAAACAACATCAACAGACCTTCGGCACAATCAAGCGCAATCATAATCAGCAGCCAATCAAGGAGGCGGAAGGAAGCATGCGGAGAGAGCAGGGCATTGTGGGTAGGAATAATGCATATTAAGAAGATGAGCACATTTGAGTGTAGAAGAGCACATCACCACATGAACACCTCGATGGGGTAGCTGCGTGTGCGAGCATGAAAAAGGTCGAAAAGGTGTTACTGACAGAGCTGACTGAATAACGCATGACGGTTCGGTTGTCATTGAGATAAGCTGAAACAGTTAAACCTGTTGATCCACAGGACAATGATAGGCCTCCTGAGCACTATGATAGGCTGATCAAGGCTATAGTGCCTGCCTTTTATAATGGATCCGCAAATCGGCCTGAATCGATCCAAATGGTGGAAAAGAATCATCTACCGTAGTTGCAGCACCAGAGATGAAACGGTTAGCAGTTTGATAAACCCCGATAACAAATTCTAAACAATTAGTAGCAGCTGCAGAATACCAGATCTATTCCTCTGAGAACAAATACAATAACATATCCATCACCATTGCCAAACCATCTGAGATTCGTCATGACTGAAATTAGGGATGTCAACGATTAATCGACGATCGATTAATTGTCGATAACACATTTAATCGATCAAACTTATCAATCAAATAGGATATGTTTGAGTTAAATAAAAGCTAACAAAGTGCTCAACGGTTATTCATTCCGCAGGCCGCTCAAGCAGAATGCACGACTAATAATAACGATGGTTAATTTGGGACTGTCATGTTACTTAACATGAGAACACTATTTTATTAAATGGTTGTGAATTCGTTGGGTTTAGCTGCCGTTTTCAGAGCGTTGTTCCAGCACGTCCACAACAGTCACACATTCTGACAAGCACACATCTGAGACGCATTGTATTTGTCGTTATATCAGCATTGACCATGTAATGCTCTTTGGCATTAATGCTAACGATTAATTGATCGTTATTTAAATGACGATCGATCGTGGGAATTTGTGAAAATTGACATCCCTAACTGAAATGCAATTGTATACTAATCAGTTGTTTTATAGTAATGTACCAGCGGTCTGGATTCCCCGTTGAGTTCAGCAGTTTAACATGTACTCGACCTGATAAATATCCAAATGAATCGATATTGAATCGCAAGCTTATGAGCAGAAATCTAATCGTGAAATTTATGTCATTGCCCAGCTCTAATAAAAACAGTACCAGTCATTGTAAAAGTTGGCCTATTGATGACTCCTAAGGATGACAGATAACCTGAAGGAGATTTAACAAGGTTATAAAACAAAAAAATTTTCAAAACCAGTTTTCCTCGTTTTATTTATTAGTTAGAAAAGGTCCTCAATTTTGTAACTATTTGCAAAAGCTGAATAATCAATCAAAAATAATCAACTATTAGTAGTCGATTAATCTGTGAAATAATCACAGACTAGAGCCCGACCGATAAAGGATTTTGAAGGCCGATACGATACAAATATTTTGGGGGTTTAAAATCCGATATATCGGCCGATATTTTATTTATTTATTTTAAACTGGACATAATAGTCACAAATTTTGTCATGCTTATTTGAGTTAAGAGAACTGATGGGCATGTTCTTTTAATTGTTATTCAAGCAATGTATGTATCGTGACCAACTCAACGAGTGTTGCCAACAGGGACAGCGTAGAGTGCCCTCTGGTGGACAAACTATACAACTCCAACACTCGTGACATGGTTCAAGCGTGTTTCGTCCGTTTTTATTTTATTTTTGAAATATTCATTTATCAGCCATTATAACTGCCGATACCGATAGTTTGGAAAATGCCTAAAATCGGCCGATAACATCGGTCTGCCGATATATCGGTCTGGCTCTATCGCAGACTCGTCGATTAATCGTTCTGATAATCGTTAGATTAATCGATTATCAAAATAATACTTTGTTGCAGCCCTAGTTGGAAAAATATATACAGCATTTCACTGTGCAGCAGATAAACTTTTACATACTTTAAGAGAATGCAACGGTAAGTTTATGTGTGTGCATGGTCTTCCTCGGTCAAATGATTAAAAGCTAATCAAGCTGGCCTCTCTCTGGATTAATCTGACATCTCCTGTTAAATGTCATCTGCAATTACTGCTTATGAAAAGAGGCAACAGCCCAATCAAGACTCCAGCACGCACACACCTCAGCCCACCTACTGAAGAGACACTGTGTGTGCGACACATTCAACAACCTGAGGAACACAAATCGCATCACACCATTAATCAAGCCATTTTACTAAATAACCACAATAACATTGAATCTAATTTGTAGATGTGATTGATGCAGCGCTTCCTACATAATGAACCCACCTGCCAATAAGTGGATCTAACTTAATTAAAATAAAACTGGTTTCAAAAGCAAGCAGCAAATGTGTTTCTTTATAAGATTGTCATTTTCTGCAAACACTCAGCAGAAGTTTCTTTATAAAGCAATTCAAACCAACAACTCTGAGTCATTTTGACTGACTCACTAAAATCACTTTTATCGACTTTGTATTATTTTATTGTAAATTATTTTCTCATCAAATTCAATAAATAGTGTTTCAAGGGCTCATATTTGGGGTTAGAAACTTAAAACCCCAAATGATAAGCAATTAAATTGACTAAAAGCGGTGTTTGTGAAACACCAATTGAAAACAAGAGTTTCTTATCTGTCTGAATAACAATTCTATTTGTATTTATGCAAAAACTCAAACAGAGCTGCTCCTCCCCAACATGTGAAGTCCTACCTATAATAATAATAATAATACAAATTTAATAGGGTACACACAGAAATAAACAAATCACTATGTGTGTAAAGTAAACATCTACAGGCTATGTTTGAAAATAAAAGCAACATTGAAATGGTGAAGGTTTTCTTTGGCATGTTTTGTGGGAAACGCAGAGGATGGTGCATCCAAATACAACAGATAATCTTACTATCCAAACCTCATTCTCAACACGCACCCAAGCACCCAAAAGATAATCTATGCTTGAAAATGTGAGGGCTGACATGCTAACAGGTGTTCAAATGTAAGATGCCAGATGGAAGTATGGAAATCGAATGAAAAATGAAATGCCACAGCTGCCCTTCACACTTCAGCCCCTCTGAACTACAGCGCCCTCTATCTACACAAACAGAGAAATGTCTTTAGAAGCGGAGCAAACATCATACAATTAGGACGGTTTATAATGTGCAATAGTAGAAATGTACCGGCTAGTAGCAATTTTGCTTTATCTTTTAAACCACTTATTTATTGTGAATAATCTGATCTTTTGGTTTGCATCCATAAAAAAAAACTAGGCGATATTATGTTTTTAATTCACTACTAGACTATCCAAAATCGGCATTAACACATGGGCATAGTTATCTAACACATTTTTACATATTGCATTTACAGCAAAAAAAATAACTGTACTATGACATAAAAATAGATCTTGATAGACTAGAATGCACTAGAGGATACTAATGACACTAGAATTTCTGAAGCGAAAGATTAAGTTTTGATCACAAAACATTACCAATCAACGTGGCACAAGCAAGCAACCGCTGCACCTGTATAACTTCTCAACTATTATCCTTGCTTGTACTCCATATAATAGTTAACCACATTTTCAGATAATCAACTACACTACACAGGCCGAGTTTACTCGCTCGACTTCCTAGCCGTTGGTCTAATCTTGACAGGTTAGTGAAGAGGTGTCCACAATTTGTCTTGACTGGTTATCAAAACAGAGCAGCGTTTGCTTGTGTCATTCAGCACCAGTTAGGCAGGTTGAGGGAAGAACCACTCACGTTTTGATACTGCTTTTACACATGAAACAGGTTAGCCGAAACCTTTTCCTCAAGTATCGGTTTACTAGGATTTATGTTTTGCCCCATCAAAATAACTACCTTACAAGTATGCATAGTTTAATAATGCATGCTAGGTATAACCAACATATGCTCCAATTCAGATTTTGATCATGTGAGACCACTGTCTTTAGTGACATTACAAGCCATCAGTAACTATAATTTGGTCCAGATTAATCCATTTAAACTACAACAACTACAACGACTAAAGAAATTCAGTTTAAAGGGATACTCCACTTTTTTGGAAATAGGCTCATTTTACCACTCCCCCAGAGTTAAACAGTTGGGTTTTACCGTTTTCGAATGTTTTCAGCCTATTTTTTTTTTTTTATATGAATATCAGTAACCACACAGTTTCTGGTCTCATTGACTTCCATAGTAGGAATTAGGAAAAAATTTACTATGGAAGTCAATGGGACCAGAAACGGTCTGGTTACTGATATTCTTCTACATAAAAAAAAAAAAAAAAAAAAATTGGCTGAATACATTCGAAAACGGTAAAACCCGACTGTTTAACTCTGGGGGAGTGCTAAAATGAGCCTATTTCCAAAAAAAGTGGTGTATCCCTTTTACACAATAATCACAATAATTATGTTTGTCATTTTTATTATGCACCAACACAACGATAAAGAGTCAAGAATATCAGAATAGAGATTGCCTTACAGGCCAGATATGATGTGCTATGTTATCGCCCATTTTCATGTCTAAAGTGCATTTTCAATGACAGCAACTGTGCCACTTGAATAAAGAGTCCAAAATAAACCACGGCTACAATCTATTTATGAATCTTTCAGCTGCACAAATTTGACACATTAAAGGCAGAGGGGAAAATGACTAGAGTCATTATGATGATGAAAAGACCAATTTGTAGATAATTCACCACATGTTTATCCACCACAAAAGACTCACACAGACTTTAAATTACACCCCGACTTAATTCAAGAACAGGGCACGACAATAAAAACCACCAGACAGCGCAAATTTAAATATTAAAACGCAAGACGACGTGAAAGAGATCTCAAATCTGTACTTGCTGCGTGAGTCTAAGAGGCGGCTTTCTGAGCGCATGCTTCGGATGTGTGCCGCATACACAAGACTAAACAGCATCTATCTCCTCTAGGTACTGAGTTTGTTATCTGCTCGAGCTCTCTAAGGTATGGACGCTGACGCGCATGTTGTCCGTGATTTCAGCAGGTCTCTAACTTAATATTTCTTTGCTTTGGTTGCCCTTCGTCTCCAACCACTGACGTATTGGCAGCGCTCCCTTCGTCCTCTACTCCCAGAATCTCTTTGATGAGTCCGGATTGTATCCTTGTCATATGATCCCCCTATATCTAGGATCTAAAAAACAGGCCTTTACCTAAAGTGTTTGAGGCAGCCGGTTCATAAACACTGTTTCGAGGCAATGTGATTTCAGAGTCCAGTCCAAGCTCACATATTAACCGTTAGAATCATATAAGAAGTCATATTAACACCTGACTTGACCACATATCAGATCATTCGACATTCATTAGCTCGCCTTTTTACTAAGTTGTACATTTACGGCAGTCTCTCAAAAGTAGGTTTTGCCCGGCAACTCGTACTGCTTGTCAAATTATTTAAGCATTGTCTTGAATGCGGATTTCTCCATTGTGTTGAATATAACCATCTCAACTAGATACTACATAAACAGCGGCTCACCTGTTACTTTCACGGCTATACTTGACAGATTTTGCAAAGGCTTCAGCTACTCTTAACTGTCAGCTGGTACCGGCCTCAGCTGTCCTTTCTGAGGTTGCTCCGCGCCTTGATGCTTGTGGGGGCAGATGCGCTTCGATGACTGGATGACAGTTAGCGTGATGAGACCTAAAATTCAGGCATCTGCCGCAAATTGTGCATTTTGGTATACATAATTTTGCTGGCTCGTTCTACTCATTCGTTTGAAAGCCGAGAAGTTCCCAAACTGATGATTTGGATATCTTAAACCTTTGACAAGTAAGATCACAGCAGGACATGCACTGTCACAGACGTTGAGCCAAAGAAAGCCATTGTCATAGATATGAAACGGCTTCAAAAAAATTATTTCTGTTACAATAATTGAAATTATCACAGAAGCACTGGGATATCATACAACATCTACAGGTGTGTGTGAGATAAAAATCGATTAAAATCACCTTTCTTAAGTAACTTGACTATTCAAATAAAGATTGTATCAATTACATCTATACACTATTAGGTGGCGACAATCTACTGATAAAAAAAATTGCCGTTGAATGATTCATTCAAGAGATTTAGTCAAAAATGCAGATTTATCCAGTAATGATAAGCGAGTCTTTATAAGCAAGTCATCAAATCATTCATTCAAAATTGTATTAAAATTAATTAAATTGACTGGCCTCTATTTTAAAAACTAAATTGTGATTCTTCATTTATCCAGAATCAGGCAGCTTTATTATGAAGTATCAGGAGGCTGTCCACGATTGAACGGTCCAAAACACACAAAAGAAAAAGCCAAATCTGAACGTAAACAGATGAGAAAGAAAATGCATGAACATTGAATCATTGCATTAGATCTTAAAGTGACAGCAGCCTAATTTACCTGCGGTTGTCATAACATTTACTACAATACAAAATAAATGTAGAAAACTACTTTAATTTATCACTTTTTTGGGGTGAGGCCAGTGGAAACTTTGGCAAGGCAAGTTACAAATTGAAACCACTTAGCATTAAGCCCTGGATTTACAGTCTAATATACACAAAACAGCAGATTTTATCATAGCTTAGTCAACGAGTAATGTGAGAGGGGTTCTATGTGATTAAATCAATTGGTACACGAGCCATGAAATATGTAATTACTGGTGTATCATCAGCATTTGATCCAAACCATCACTTATTATTTTTACTTATTATCCAACCTGTATTTTATTCTAAAACATTTGTTTGTTTGTTTAATGGCTAACAAATAAAAGATAATCGGAAAAATCTCCTGTCAGAGGTCTCTCTTGGTCTTGCCCAGATTGTGTGCATTTGTTTGGAGAACAGACAACATGGGAGAGTCAGACGACTGCACCTGTGAGTCTGACACATGCTTGAAGAGCCCTGATTGATGTGTCACTCAAGCAAAAGTCTATCTATCATTATCCTTTGGATCGGATACATGAAGACACTTGCTGTGTCTCAAGACCTAGGGAGGTGTCTACCTAGACAGAATTTCAAGACATCAGAGGTGTGTACCAATTGATCAAAGTAGGCTACTCACTAGTTTTGACATAGGCCTACACCACACAAATTAGCCTATGCCCACAATGATTCCAAAATCTGTGGTAAACACCAACAATGCTAGCATCTACAAAACAAACCAGGTTTTGCTAAGAAAAATGTTGTCTAAGACAGGGGTTTCGATAAAAATAAGATTGATCGAACTAAATGTTTAAAATAAATAAAAAAATGGATTATATGTACAGTACTACATCTAGCAGTACAGTCTTATTTTAGTGAGTTTCACCGTATAAATTGGGACCTTTAACATGAAATATAGAACTGCCTTTAAAATTTTAGGATGGGAGTCCCTCACACAACGATAATCACATTCAAGGGGCCATAGCATCTAAAAGATTGCAAACCCCTGGTCTAGGAAAGCCAACATATGTTTTGAAAATACAACACTAACGCAATGTCCCCTTGTGGTGCCCTAAAAAGCTGCCTAGGTAGGCTGCTTACTATGTTATAAAATGCAGTTCACAAAATTGTGCCACTTATAATGGCCAAAATGTTTTCTAGGTAGGCAGCACACTGTTCTGAATACATCCAAATTAGTAATCATAATGCAGGCTATGTGCGTTTGAAATAGAACAAAAAAAAGAATGTCCCCCTTTAATGACCCAAAAATTCTCCAAACGTCAGTGTTCACCAGGTTTTTAAATACAACAGCAACATTATACAATCTATAATGTCAAAATATGTTGCCCAGATGAGGTTTTCAAACACAGCCAATGATTGTGATAGAGGACAGTAAGATTTAAGTGATCTGTCAGTCCAGCTCACACGGCTCGTTAAAAACCACTGGATCAACCAAAACTGCTTTTGATTAGCCTTACTGTTTATATGTAATACGTGTTTGGTGGAAGTGTATGTTTTGTGCGTGTATTTGAGGGGAAACAGCAGCTGAAGATGTGAAAAACAGGAGTGGTTGTTCCCCACCCCCATCCATCGGCCTACAACAATGAACAACAAACACTCCACATTTCATTCACATTTATCGCCTTAATCCACATCAAATTCGCCGCACGGTTACACTCACGTGTAAAATGAATCATCTTACCCCCAAAATCCACAAGGGCAGCGGGGAGGAATACTAGGCGGCTTGCTGCGCTCGCTTCCTGTGTCCCCCATGGCGGCGATGTGAAGGCGGCAGGTTTCTGCAGGAAACACCGGGGATCAAATGGCGGCCTAGTGCTTGTACGGGAATTCCTCGGCTCGACGTTTGATCAAAAACCCTTTACAACGAAATCCCCGAGGTGAAAATGCAGCGTAAGAACTGAAAGATAAGGACACGAGCAGCCGCTACTATAAATTCGAAGTAATTTAGACAAAATTCAAGAAATTAACGGCCGCGTACAGTCCGACGGACCGCACCGGGAGTCGAGGCCGATCAGCTGGCGAGTGGAAGATACCAACTCCTAAATAGGGTTTTGTAATAATGAGTAAAAACATTTAAACACTCAGATTCCCATTGTACACACATTTACGCAAAATATTGTTGATAAAAAGTGGTATACTTAATACAATGTTTGAATGTTGTCGGTATATCACTAATATCACGTGTTAATAACGTTTTATCGAAAGAATGTTCCCTTTAAAAGGAAGTGGAACGGTCCAAGCTGTATTCCTTGTTTGTAAAGGGGATTTGAGCTTTAAAGCTGTTTAAGTACAAGACCTGCTGTAGACCCCAGTATAAGATGAGCTGCAGATGATGGCCTTGACTACAACACATATTTAGGCAGGACGCAAAAAAAGTTATTAGAAATATAAAATAACTTAACAAATACATGACATTGAATATCGCATTGACAACACACTGGCTCGAGGTCATAGAGTATCATTGGAAAGGGGATTCCAGTAATCGAATTTTATACACAAATTAAATTATATTATTTATTAGCCTTTAAGTATGTTTAACAAAAATTGCTTTGTGTGTTTATAATATTCACGGTTCAAAGCTATATTTTTGATTACACGATTTATCACGAACTAAAACTTGAAAAGGAAAATGCATCAATCAGTCGTTGCATGCTTGAATGTCTAAAGCTTTTGAGGTTGTTGTTTGTGCTTAACGAACTTGAATACTTTATGAATGGGCCTACTTTGAGATCTAAAGATCCATCATAGATGAATGGATGGATAAATATGGATTCTGTTCATATAAGTAGGCTACTTAAAACCATTAAATTTATTGTTTAAGAAATTAAAGCCAAATACAAATATGCATAAGATGTGAGCTTGCAAACAAGGAACACGAATAACTATTATAACTAGACAATGACATTTCTTTAAGAAAAACTTTAAATGAAACTTGAATGGTCTGACAGTTGGAGTTTAAAATCAAGAAGTCTGAACATACATTCAGTCATTTAACGTCTATATAATCTCTGGCTGTATACAGGAAAACCAAAATCCAATCAATTAGAAAAATAAAGCACATTGTGATAGAACATGCTAAAGGTCTGCTGATGTAATAGTTTGGTCAGATGTGAACAAAGTACACAACTTCCTTACTTGAGTGAAACTTAAAGGAGTAGTTAACTTTAAAAAAAAACTTTTGCTGATAATTTACTTACCCCATGTCATCCAAGATGTCCATGTCATTTTTTCTTCAGTCAAAAAGAAAATAAGGTTTTCGATGAAAACATTCCAGGATTTTTCTCCATTTAATGCACTTTACTGGTAACCAAACGGTTCAAGGTCCAAAAGACAGTTTCAGTGTAAACTACAAACTGTTCAAAGGGCTTTAAACGATTCCATTTCCAGACGATGAATAAGGGTCTTATCAAGCAAAACGATTTAAAAAGAAAATATAACAAAGTTTAAGTTTTATAAGCTCAAATGCTCGCCTTGCTCTGTTCTGTGATGCGCATTCGTGACTCTCCTGTTCGAACACGTTTATTAAAATGAACGAATCTTTTTTCGTGTCATTTGGTTCATTCAACAAACGAAATGAACGAATTGACTCGGGAAAAGATTCGTTCATTTTGATGAACGATTTCTAACAGGAATATCACTAACGCGCATCACAGAACAGAGCAAGGTGAGCATTTGAGCTTATAAAACTTAAACTTTGTTGTTGTTTTTTAAATGAGCGATCGTTACGCTTGATAAGACCCTTATTCATCGTCTGGAATCGTTTAAAACCCTTTGAACAGTTTGCACTGAAACTCTCATTTGGACTTTGAACCGTTTGGTTACCAGTAAAGTGCATTATATGGAGAAAAATCCTGGAATGTTTTCATCAAAAACCTTAATTTCTTTTCGTCTGAAGAAAGAAAGACACGGACATCTTGGATGACATGGGGGTGAGTAAATTATCAGCAAAAGTTTTTTTTAAAACTGAACTACTCCTTTAAATGTCAGTACATTGTTGTGTTGCAAATATGGGTCCGAAAATGATGTCTAATGATGTTTTTGTAAAGCAAATTTAGTCAGTGGTTCATGACCTACCAAACATTGGAGTAAGTGATCTTTTCTGTATCAGCATATGCTCTGTACAAGAGTGGAGGGTGGAATGATTCCCTTTCAAAGCAACATCTCCCTCATCACTGCTAAGTCCAGCCTAAGGCCTCCAGGTCTCCTGAGATGCTCCACACAACTTCAAAGACAAATTTCCCCTCATTTCTACACACAGAACTTTAGGAATTAATGAGAAACTGTTTCAAAGATGACAGAACTATAATGTAGCTTGAGCGCTTCAAGAGTGACACAGATTTGCTTTATTCCTCAATGTTTCACTCACCCGAGTCACACATAAACACTGAACAGTCACTCAGATTGATACACATATTCATGAGGGTTTACAAGAGTTCATGTCAACTTTTTACAGAGTTAGAAATCCCCCTGTACCCTCCGTGTTGTTTCCTGCCTGAAGTAAAACTACAAAGACTACACTCTCAAAGGAGGTTTGATTATTTAATGGGGAAAATCATGAGGTGCGGTGCAGCGGGACCTTGAAGATGCATTGATGTGCAAAAAAAGAGAAAGAAGCTCAAGGTGCCTGGAAGAGCGGGAAAACAACTGCGATAATTTTTGCAGAGAATTGATGAACACGGGTGAACTTTCATGTTTTTCAATAACACTGCGACGAGGCCTTTGGGTGAAATACCCAGATGCCACTTATATATCAAGGTATGTGCATTCAAAAGCTCTACATTCCTA